GGGGTTCCGAGCGAAGACAAGAACGGGAATACCAGTGACATGGCAACCAGGGCCTTCCTTAGAAGAAAGACTGCCCCTATCTCAGCCTTTGCGCAAAAAAGGGAAAGCAAGATGTTTGATTGTGGTTTATGTGGTGTGACCCCAAAATACAAATCGCCTAGGTGTCCTTTTAGGCAAATAGATGGCCCTGGCAGATGAGTAACCAAAAACGTTCAGACGTCTGCATCCCTCGGCCAACTGCCTCGTAGGAGGGCCGTCGCTGATCTGCCTACAGGGCCAGGGTTCCCGAAGGCTTTGTCGTAGTGCAACTGTATCCGCAAATGGCTGTGGGTCACTCAGGTGGCGAATGGATGCTCATCCCTCAAAAATGGAGCCATAGGTTATGCCCCATGGCCAAATATTTTTGGGGCTGACTGTGTGATCTTGCTTCCCTTCAAGAGGTTTCTTGCCGATTCGCGGCTGTCACTATCGTAGTCCATGCCAGTCAAGAGGCTGCCTATCTCTTCCTTTGCCAATTTGCATGGCTTCTGCAGTTGGCTCAAGTTTCAGAACTCCCGCTCAAGTTTAAGGAATACCGCCCTGTTCAATGGCAAAATGGATGGTATTTTGGCTTTTTTCCCTCAGGCGTCTTCTGTTTATCTCGTGTTCTTCTTCGACAGCGCCCGAAGAGGATCGCGATCACGACGGGGGCGATGATGATGTTGTTGTTTTTGACAATGATCTTCGCTTCCCCAGCATCCCCAGCCAGGCTTCGATTCAGAAGAAAACAAGGGCCTCGAAAATGAGCTTGCGCTGTACACATCAACACCATTAGTATCTGTTCCCAAAAGTTGTCTCCACCCTGCATCCCTAGCATTGCCAGCGCCAAGCGTGACATGTGAAGTCTGTTTTTAATGAAACGACAGCGACGATGATGTCGACGATGTCGAAAATGGCGATGAGGACGATGATGATGATGATGATGATGATGCTGCTGATGCTGATGATGATGATGATGATGATGATGATGACGATGATGATGATGATGATGATGATGGTGATGTTGAAGATGATGATGATGATGACGATGATGACGATGATGACGCACTCCTAGCGGTCGAAGCATGTTTTCTTGCCCCAAGAACTTCGTAACTTTCATCCTCCAGTCTGCGACGCGGAAAAGATTTCTTCTTTCACTGAAGAGCTGTGATGCTCAGGTATTGAGCAGCCCGCAAGAAACCTTTCCTTTGCCCAAGCACGTCCGAAGTTTGGGAGGATCAAGCAAGTTGATTCATTCGTGCTCTGCCGCTGTTCCGAACCGACACTTTTGTCGGCCTGGGAAAGTGCAAGCGACTGACCTTGAAGGCCACCCTTTTCTTAAGCTCTGGTGATGCGGATGTTGCGCAAAGTGCGGTTTCGAGCCTTGCGTTCAGCTGTAAAACCATTGACTGGGCAAGCGAAGCAGGAAACAAGATGAGCCAGGCTCCAGGATTTTGAAGGCACCGCCCTCAGCCCCCAGCCAAACACTTTCAGCATCGCCAGCCACACCCTCCTCCAGCGAAAAAGCATTTCCTTCACTGAAGCGTTCTTGAGCAGCCTGCAGGGAAGCCGTTGAAAGCCGCGACATCTGGGGTTTGCAATTTCGGACTGTGACGACATCTACTTTTAAGCGGAAACACGTTTCCTTTGCGAAAGCGCTTTTGATGCGAAGCAGTCCGCGGGTGACAGCTAAAACCCTCCTTGACTGGAGCCTGATTCAGCTCCTTCTCTGCTTCCAGCTTTCCTATTAAGCCACTGGTGATGCTGGGGGTGTTGACTACTGCAGCCTACCAACTATCGCGATACCTACTTTTAGTTTGAGGGGCAAGCATTCCCTTTGCTGAAAATATTGTTATGCTTGGAGGGCATGTCGGGCTCGAGAAGTGCAATTTCGTAATTCGCTGTGGAATGAATCTTGCTCCCGCCGAACGACTCGCAAAGGTCGCGGTTGGAGGCTGCGGCATCTACTTTTAGGAAGCGGCAACGCAGTTCCTTTCCTAACGCACTGGTGATGCTGGGGGTGTTGACTACTTTAGAGGGTGTCAACCACAACAGTCAACGAAGACCTTCCAAGGCAGGCCCGCTGCACCGCCCCAGTATATACTCTGTGTACATAAGTATATAGCACTTCTACAATATATATATATATATTCGAAAATTAAAGCTACGCAATGTTTCACATTCTGACTACGAATAGGTGATTCTCGTACATGCAATGCCACGTCGCACGGTCACCATGGATTCCCCTAGCTAGCAACTATGGCTTGACACGCACTAGCCAAGTTGGTCTGTTTTATGCCGGGGAGGCACCGCCAGCATCAATGCCTCAGCCCCCCAGCCAAACACTTTCAGCATCGCCAGCCAAACATCTTTCTCCAGCGAAAAAAGCATGTCCTTCACTGAAGCGTTCTTGAGCTGCCCGCAGGGAAGCATTTGAAATCCGCTACATCTGGGTCTCATATACTAACAGAGGGCATTCCGCCCCCAAAAAGAATGACCAAAAAAAGCGCGGCGCGGAATTTCCCGCTGCGGATACATCGCATCCGGATGCGCTCAGCAGCGCTGCAAGATCGCGATGAGCGCATCAATGGCTCCCTGCACGTCGCTACAGGTCCAGACCATCTTCATCATGCTGAAGACCTGGGCGAGCGCCTAGTCCCCCGGCCATCCAGTCCAACAGAAATGTGGGGAGCACTCGTCATATGGCTGTGGGTCAATAATAGGTACCACAAATGGAACCCTGTTAAATGGAAAGAAGGACTAAAACCTGCGGTCCCCTGGTGGTTTGATTTTGACCCATGATGTCTACAGCATTCCTACTTTCATGCAACCACTACTCAAGCTACAATAATCATACAAGGAAATACATGTGTTAGGTAGATTCCAAAATCGCCATCGTGGGGACGGGTCACAAATTTACGACACCGGAGACCACAAATGTCGGTTAGGTGTAAGCAGCAAAGTCGAGTAGCGGGAACCAAGTTTGACCCAGAACAGTAGCGCATCTTAGCATGTTTCAAGCCAATAGAATTGCCCCAAAACCATGCTGGTCGCAAAAGCTCCGTTGGCATGCCCCGTGTTACGACTCCACCAAACGCTTCGACGCCCCAAGCGCCTGGATGGCAACCTGCGCTTCGGGCGTGGCGCTGACCTCGAGAAGGCTGGACTCCTCGCACGCCTGGCTTGGCGACAGTCTAGGGGTTGATCAAAAGGTCCTTTACTCTGTCCGTCAGATTTGAGAGGGTAGAATAAGTTGGTACCAACTTTTTTTCTGTAGTCGAAATTTTAGTAGGGGAACCCGGGAACCCTATCCCAAAAAAGGGTCGTAGAAACTGGGCTGCCCGCCCAAAGTGACTATCGTGGGTTAAAGGAAAACTACCACTAAACGCTGAAAGGCTAAAAAGCTAAGGAACCGGATGGCTGGGAGCCACCAAGGAAATTGGAGTTCTTTACATGGGACGACCGTAGATGATATGTTGCACATGGGAACTGTTGCGCATGGTCATTAAGGCAGGAATATGGATCAACACCCAAATAGTCGATGTCAGGGGGGTTCCTCAAATGGGGGATCCAAGAAGACACTGTTCAAGTGGTCTATTGTTGGAGCGTAAAAGCCTTGAATTGGCGCTTCAATTTTAGGAAAACCTCCTGTGCAGGTGACCGTCCTGTGCAATTGGATTTTCAGGAAAACCTCCTCTGCAGTTGGTGTGCACCCAGTAAACATGACCCCCAAAATGACCATATCCAGTACTGAGGTCATCTTTGGAGCCCCCATATTCAGGTTCCGGTCAATTTTGGGGTGCAAAACATGCCATGAAAATGCCGAACAAAAAACTGAAAGCTACCAAATAGGTATCAGCCCTGCGGATATACGGTATGCGTTCTTTCTGATGTACTTATCAAGTCTTGATATGTGTAGGAAGGCTCGTAGGAGTCGTGTCACCTCACGTCGTCTTGTCTTGGCAAGATTGCTGCCAGATGTTGCTTCCACGAATTTTCCATATGTTTGCTATGTCTTGCCATGCATCCCAAAAGTGATATGGCAACCACTCTCTACGCCTTGCCATATGGGGCATCTATGACTATGTCTATTGTCTGACAAAAACTTGACCGACCAACAAAACAAATCAACACGCCCGGCGAACACTCCCAAACTCCAGAACTCCAGAACTCAAGAGAAGAAACGGAACCCGTTCGCTACTCATTCGGGAAACATTGGCACGAGCAGACATTCGTATCGCTTTGGGGACCGATAGTCGATCGAACTCCATGAGGTGAAGGACAGGAAACCCATCCTGCTGCAATCAGACGCTTCGGATCTCTGTACAAATTCTCGGTTTGTATCATTATACCAAAATTCAAAGAACAGGCCACCCCCAACGCCCATTAAATTCCACTTGTTCTGCTCCATACCAAGTTCTAATTGGAAACACATCAGAAGGCGCCTTCTGCTTCTGCTTCTGAACCTCACCCTTCGACGCAGCAAGCTCCTGCTTCTTCTGCACCATCTTGGGCTTGGCCTCTTCGCACTCTTTGATGTCCGCCTTGATATTGGCCTCGCGCTGCTCAAACGTCAGCTTCGCTTCCGACGTGTGACCGCCCTGACCGCCCTGGCCCTCCACCGCCACATTGAGCTTGCCCCCGCCACCGGGCACGACGATGTCGCCCGTAAAGTCAGGCGCGCTGAAGTCGGGCACTTCCAAGTTGAAGGAGCCCCCAGTGACCACACCGACCTGGCTATGGGTCAAAACCCTGTACCCCCCAGTGAACATCCCAGTGCCCACCAAAATAGAATACAACGGTACCATTGGTGTTGACCCACGGCCACCTTGATCTCCGGCACTTTGATGTTGATCTCTGGGATGCGCACTGTGGCGCTGACCTGGAGACTCACGCACTTCCCCACGGCCTCCGTGTAAGTCGTCATGGCCGCACGAATCGCCTCAGCCTCTGCTGGACAGAACTCAGCACTGCCAACACTGCCACCACTGCCCTCGCCCAAGGACTTCTTGGCCTTTTCCTCAGCCTTTGCAGGGGATATGGCCGCCTAAACCCAACCTGCGGGAATCATCCCAACCATCCAGCTTTGGCGATCAAAATCCCCGGTCATCTGGGTGCTTCCTAAGCTGGGCAAGCCAAACACATCCAAAAGTACGCTATTGCAGCGGGAACTGCTTAGAAAGCTGTGGATACATCGGGTGCCCCAACAATTCAGTGGAACTCCCAATTGGGATGGGTCAAAACCCAGCACCACAATTTGGGGGGATGGACGACATCCATTTACCACCTATGGCTTGATGCTCACCGAAAAGTTGTACCCGGGGTGTTGACCCATCCCAAGATGATTGTGCTTCTCGTGATGATGATTCTGATGATGATGATGATGATGATGATGATGATGATGATGATGATGATGGTGGTGACAATGAACGGTGACGGTGACGGCGACGGTGACGGCGACGGTGACAATGAGGATGAGGATGATGACGGTGATGATGATCAGTGCATTCTACAGTCTACCCTAAAACTTAGTACCCTCCCATCAGCTAACATGGAAGTGCACAAACCCCTTTGCACTTTTATGTTACTGGGTATTGGTTGTAACCTACTTGCCTTCTTCGTCTCGCATTCCTCGGCTTCGTGCTGGAGATCTGTGAGGCCTTGCCGCTCGTCCTCCACCTTCTTCTTCTCAGTGCCGAGGTCAGCCATGCATTGCCCGAGTTTGGCTTGCAGGTCATACAGCTCCTCTGCCGGTTACATTGAGTCACGGTGGTCGTCCCATCCCAAACGGAATTTGTAGTGATGTGTTCAACCCAAGAACTATGACTTAATAGTAACATCCATCGATTGGGATCATCATGCCATTTTCGGGGGAGGAAACAAGTCAACTTTGGATAAGCCATCTTGGCCCCTGCCCATATTTGCTATCAAGAAAACCAGTTTCATTGGGAAATGATTCTAGGCTATTTATATTTCTGGGTGATTCTGCTTACTGAAAACAACACGAATACTGGAAAAGCATGAAATATTGCTGGATTTGCACATGCCACGTTAGATTACCAAACTGCAGTCCTGGATCTTGGAAAAGCACATGGACTTTGCAGTTCGCAGATCCGAGCGCATTGTCTGGTCGTCCTTCTTGCACTTGGAGGCATCGCCAAACCTGTCTCATTGAGCCACCCGGGCCCCAAATACATGGTCAGATTGGCGGGGGGGGGAAGGGGGGGGGGGGGCTAAACTTGAGGGAACCCAAACCAGGGTGTTCCCTCCCAAAATAAGCCAACTATACAACATAGTCATTTGTGGTCATTTATAGTTATTAACAGTCATCACTAGTCACTAATAGTCTTCAATAGTCATTATAGATGTTACCCATCAACAGGGGTTTACTGGTTGGTAGTTCTTGGCCACCAATCCCCAAAAAGTATGCTGGTCAAATGGGCTCACCACCATAACCCAAATATGTTGTTTTGAAACTACGGCTGAAACCACCAACCAAACCATGGATGTTAAACTGATCCTGAGAAAGGGGGAAAATCAAAGCATGTGGCCGAAACTGCCAACTGGAAACTGGATGGGGGCGTCGCAAGGAGGCATCGGGCCAAAGTCCCTTTCGCCCATACCAATCATGCAGTACCAGAGCGGCAGGCAGACTGTCTTGCGATAGTTCGCGTCGTTGCAACAAATGTCATGCTCCTTCTGCATGCAATTCATGGCGTCCCCCATCATGCCGTTCATCATGTCTGCCATGCCATTCATGTCAAAACCTGGGAACATGCCGCCACCCGTGTTGTCACTCTCGGTTTTCTGTGGCTTTGGCTTTGGCATGTTGAAGCCTCCCTGGTCGAAGCCGGGCATACCGAAATCGCCTCGGCGCGATTCTTCCACTGGAGCATCCCATTTCATAGAACGGTTGGGTGCTGATGGGGTCACAGCTCATGGCTTACAAGAATCCCTATGAAACCAGGTCACCCCCGGCATGAAACAGACCAACTTGGCTACTTTGGAAATTGCTCAGCTGGGAAGCCGCCTTGGTCAGGCATGCCACCATTGCCGCCTGGGAAACCGCCACCCCCAAGGCCAGGCATGTCATCGAAGCCAAAGCCGCCGCCAAAATCGAAGGGACCAGCCTCCAGCTGGTCGGTCTCCTGCCTGCTGCGCCGGGCGGAGGCAACGACGCACATGAACAAAACCCGCGACATCAGCGGAGATAGTTGGCAAACAAAACAAAGCGAGTAGTAATCTTCGAGCCGTGAGTGGCTGCAAAGGTCGGGCACTGCACAACAGCCGAGACTTGAGGAGGCTTGGGTAGACGATATGATCACCTACTTCGCTGCCAAAAGCCTTCAGCAATCCCATCCAACGTAGATGGATGTTTCTCTTCCATTCATTTGGGGGGTCACCAGTTTTCCCCGCGGTTTTCTGAAGGAGGTGCCAAGACTCCAAACTCTGGGGCAGGTCGTTTGGTTCACTCAAGGCTCAGGCAATCCCGGTACAGGTATGCCGAGATGGGAGTTAAGGCTCGAATGGGGCAACAGGTCTAGACAAAGGAGACATGGCATCATAAAAGTAAAAACTTTCCGGGGTGGGCCTTGCAGATCAAAAGGCGCCGGCCCGATGGGGTGTCAACTGAAATTCAAAGTAAATCGACAAGCAGCGTCAGCTTGCATATCTTCCAGTAGTATCCAAGTGTGGCGGCGCTTTGCTCATGTTTCAAAGTGGCCAGGCATGGGCATATTGGGAACAATGAATGCCTCACATGTTGCATCTCCCCATGTAGTGGGAAACGTGCAGCATGTAAAAATAAATCGCACATTGTGGGTTGGAGTCAAACTTAGATATCACGAATTTGGAGGCCGACAAAGGGATGCACAAAAAAATAGCAAAGCAAGCTCAAGGCCTGCCCGGAACACATTTGTCGCCCTATAGTATTTATACTTGATATGTCGTTCGGGTCAAATCTCGGAAATCGTCCAGTTGTTGTCAGGTTGTGTCCTTTCAGCAATGAACGGATGTACCCAATGCGTCCCACTAGATTCACATAGTAGGCAACCCTTACCTCTAGGCTAAGTAATCCTTCCTGTTCTACTGGGCTGAACCATGGATTCCCCTAGCTAGCAACTATGGCTTGACACGCACTAGCCAAGTTGGTCTGTTTTATGCCGGGGGAGGCACCGCCAGCATCAATGCCTCAGCCCCCAGCCAAACACTTTCAGCATCGCCAGCCAAACATCTTTCTCCAGCGAAAAAAGCATGTCCTTCACTGAAGCGTTCTTGAGCTGCCCGCAGGGAAGCATTTGAAATCCGCTACATCTGGGGCTCATATGCTAGCAGAGGGCATTCCGCCCCCAAAAAGAATGACCAAACAAAGGCGCGGCGCGGATGCACCGCCGCGGATTTCCCGCCGCGGATGCACCGCATCCGGATGCGCTCAGCAGCGCTGCAAGATCGCGATGAGCGCATCAATGGCTCCCTGCACGTCGCTACAGGTCCAGACCATCTTCATCATGCTGAAGACCTGGGCGAGCGCCTAGTCCCCCGGCCATCCAGTCCAACAGAAATGTGGGGAGTACTCGTCATTTGGCTGTGGGTCAAAGAGAGGTACCACAAATGGAACCCTGTTAACTGGAAAGAAGGACTAAAACCTGCGGTCCCCTGGTGGTTTGATTTTGACCCATACCCATATCATGCAACTGAAACGGCAAATGATGTCTACGGCAGTCCGACTTTCATGCAACCACTACTCAAGTTACAATAATCATACAAGGAAATACATGTGTTAGGTAGATTCCGACATCGCCATCGTGGGGATGGGTCACAAATTTACAACACTGGAGACCACAAATGTCGGTTAGGTGTAAGCAGCAAAGTATTCGAGTAGCGGGAACCAAGTTTGACCCAGAACAGTAGCGCATCTTAGCATGTTTCAAGCCAATAGAACAAAAGCTCCGTTGGCATGCCCCGTGTTACGACTCCACCAAACGCTTCGACACCCAAGCGCCTGGATGGCAACCTGCGCTTCGGGCGTGGCGCTGACCTCGAGAAGGCTGGACTCCTCACACGCCTGGCTCGGCGGTCTAGGGGTTGATCAAAAGATCCTTTACTCTGTCCGTCAGATTTGAGAGGTTAGAACAAGTTGTTACCATTTCTTTCTGTAGTCGAAATTTTAGTAGGGGAACCCTATCCCAAAAAAGGGTAAAAGGGTACTACTGAGGGACAGCGTAGAAACTGGGCTGCCCTTTTTCGGATCCCCCGCCCAAAGCTAAATTTTCTCGTGGGTTAAAGGAAAACTACCACTAAACGCTGAAAGGCTAACAAGCTAAGGAGCCATCCACCAAGGAAATTGGAGTTGATCAAAAGGTGCTTTACATGGGACGACCGTAGATGATATGTTGCACATGGGAACAGTTGCGCATGGTCATTCAGGTAGGAATATGGATCAACACCCAAGTAGTCGATGTCAGGGGGGTTCCTCAAATGGGGGGTCCAAGAAGACACTGTTCAAGTGGTCTATTGTTGGAGCGTAAAAGCCTTGGGTTGGCGCTTCAATTTTAGGAAAACCTCCTGTGCAGGTGGAACCGTCCTGTGCAATTGGATTTTCAGAAAAACCTCCTCTGCAGTTGGTGTGCACCCAGTAAACATGACCCCCACCATATCCAGTACTGAGGTCATCTTTGGAGCCCCCAAATTCAGGTTCCGGTCAATTTTTTGGGGTGCAAAACATGCCATGAGGATGCCGAACAAAACTGAAAGCTGTCAAATAGGTATCAGCCCTGCCGAAATACGGTATGCGTTCTTTCTGATGTGCTTATCAAGTCTTGATATGTGTAGGAAGGCTCGTAGGAGTCATGTCACCTCAGGTCGTCTTGTCTTGGCAAGATTGCTGCCAGATGTTGCTTCCACGATTATCCATATGTTTGCCATGTCTTGCCATGCATCCAAAAAGTGATATGGCAAACACTCTCTACGCCTTGCCATATGGGGCATCTATGACTATGTCTATTGTCTGACAAAAACTTAAATCAACACGCCCGGCGAACACTCCCAAACTCCAGAACTCCAGAACTCTGGAGAAGAAACGGAACCCGTTCGCTACTCATTCGGGAAACATTGGCACGAACAGACATTCGTATCGCTTTGGGGACCGATAGTCGATCGAACTCCATGAGGTGAAGGACAGGAAACCCATCCTGCTGCAATCAGACGCTTCGGATCTCTGTACAAATTCCCGGTTTGTATCATTATACCAAGATTCAAAGAACAGGCCACCCCTAACGCCCATTAAATTCCACTTGTTCCGCTCCATACCGAGTTCTAATTGGAAACACATCAGAAGGCGCCTTCTGCTTCTGCTTCTGAACCTCGCCCTTCGACGCAGCAAGCTCCTGCTTCTTCTGCGCCATCTTAGGCTTGGCCTCTTCGCACTCTTTGATGTCCGCCTTGATATTGGCCTCGCGCTGCTCAAACGTCAGCTTCGCTTCCGACGTGTGACCGCCCTGACCGCCCTGACCGCCCTCCACCGCCACATTGAGCTTGCCCCCGCCACCGGGCACGACGATGTCGCCCGTAAAGTCAGGCGCGCTGAAGTCGGGCACTTCCAAGTTGAAGGAGCCCCCAGTGACCACACCGACCTGGCTATGGGTCAAAACCCTGTACCCCCAGTGAATATCCCAATGCCCACCAAAATAGACTAAAATGGTACCATTGGTGTTGACCCACGGCCACCTTGATCTCCGGCACTTTGATGTTGATCTCTGGGATGCGCACTGTGGCGCTGACCTGGAGACTCACGCACTTCCCCACGGCCTCCGTGTAAGTCGTCATGGCCGCACGAATCGCCTCAGCCTCTGCTGGACAGAACTCAGCACTGCCAGCACTGCCCTCGCCCAAGGACTTCTTGGCCTTTTCCTCGGCCTTTGCAGGGGATATGGCTGCCTAAATCCAACCTGTGGGAATCATCCCAACCATCCAGCTTTGGCGATCAAAATCCCCGGTCATCTGGGTGTTTCCTAAACTGGGCAAGCCAAACACATCCAAAAGTACGCTATTGCAGCGGGAACTGCTTAGAAAGTTGTGGATACATCGGGTGCCCCAACAATTCAGTGGAACTCCCAATTGGGATGGGTCAAAACCCAGCACCACAATTTGGGGGGATGGACGACATCCATTTACCACCTATGGCTTGATGCTCACCGAAAAGTTGCACCCGGGGTGTTAACCCATCCCAAGATGATTGTGCTTCTCGTGATGATGATTCTGATGATGATGATGATGATGATGATGATGATGATGATGATGATGATGATGATGATGATGATGATGGTGGTGGTGACAATGAACGGTGACGGTGACGGCGACGGTGACGGCGACGGTGACAATGAGGATGAGGATGATGACAACGACGACGATGACGGTGATGATGATTAGTGCATTCTACAGTCTACCCTAAAACTTAGTACCCTCCCACCAGCTAACATGGAAGTGCACAAACCCCTTTGCACTTTTATGTTACTGGGTATTGGTTGTAACCTACTTGCCTTCTTCGTCTCGCATTCCTCGGCTTCGTGCTGGAGATCTGTGAGGCCTTGCCGCTCGTCCTCCACCTTCTTCTTCTCAGTGCCGAGGTCAGCCATGCATTGCCCGAGTTTGGCTTGCAGGTCATACAGCTCCTCTGCCGGTTACATTGAGTCACGGTGGTCGTCCCATCCCAAACGGAATTTGTAGTGATGTGTTCAACCCAAGAACTATGACTTAATAGTAACATCCACCAGTATATGCTCGTCGATTGGGATCATCATGCCATTTTCGGGGGAGGAAACAAGTCAACTTTGGATAGGCCATCTTGGCCCCTGCCCATATTTGCTATCAAGAACACCAGTTTCATTGGGAAATGATTCTAGATTATTTATATTTCTGGGTGATTCTGCTTACTGAAAACAACACGAATACTGGAAAAGCATGAAAGATTGCTGGATTTGCACATGCCACGTTAGATTACCAAACTGCAGTCCTGGATCTTGGAAAAGCACATGGACTTTGCAGTTCGCATATCCGAGCGCATTGTCTGGTCGTCCTTCTTGCACTTGGAGGCATCGCCAAACCTGTCTCATTGAGCCACCCGGGCCCCAAATACATGGTCCGGGGGGGGGCTAAACTTGAGGGAACCCAAACCATGGTGTTCCCTCCCAAAATAAGCCAACTATACAACATAGTCATTTATGGTCATTTATAGTGATTAACAGTCATCACTAGTCACTAATAGTATTCAATAGTCATTATAGATGTTACCCATCAACAGGGGTTTACTGGTTGGTAGTTCTTGGCCACCAATCCCCAAAAAGTATGCTGGTCAAATGGGCTCGTCACCACAACCCAAATATGTTGGTTTGAAACTACGGCTGAAACCACCAACCAAAACATGGATGTTAAACTGATCTTGAGAAAGGGGGAAAATCAAAGCATGTGGCCGAAACTGCCAACTGGAAACTGGATGGGGGCGTCGCAAGGAGGCATCGGGCCAAAGTCCCTTTCGCCCATACCAATCATGCAGTACCAGAGCGGCAAGCACACTGTCTTGCGATAGTTCGCGTCGTTGCAACAAATGTCATGCTCCTTCTGCATGCAATTCATGGCGTCCCCCATCATGCCGTTCATCATGTCTGCCATGCCATTCATGTCAAAACCTGGGAACATGCCGCCACCCGTGTTGTCACTCTCGGTGTTCTGTGGCTTTGGCTTTGGCATGTTGAAGCCTCCCTGGTCGAAGCCGGGCATACCGAAATCGCCTCGGCGCGATTCTTCCACTGGAGCATCCCATTTCATAGAACGGTTGGGTACTGATGGGGTCACAGCTCATGGCTTACAAGAATCCCTATGAAACCAGGTCACCCCCGGCATAAAACAGACCAACTTGGCTACTTTGGAAATTGCTCAGCTGGGAAGCCGCCTTGGTCAGGCATGCCACCATTGCCGCCTGGGAAACCGCCACCCCCAAGGCCAGGCATGTCATCGAAGCCGCCACCGCCAAAGCCGCCGCCAAAATCGAAGGGACCAGCCTCCAGCTGGTCGGTCTCCTGCCTGCTGCGCCGGGCGGAGGCAACGACGCACATGAACAAAACCCGCGACATCAGCGGAGATAGTTGGCAAACAAAACAAAGCGAGTAGTAATCTTCGAGCCGTGAGTGGCTGCAAAGGTCGGGCACTGCACAGGATTGTAGCCGAGACTTGAGGAGACTTGGGTAGAGGGAACGATTGATCACCTATTTCGCTGCCAAAAGCCTTCAGCAATGCCATCCAACGTAGATGGATGTTGCTCTTCCATTCATTTGGGGGGTCACCAGTGGTCCCAAAAAAGATGGAGAAAAGGAACGAAGCCCACATTGAGGAGGATTTACTTTCTATCGACCTTCAGGGATGACCAAATATGCTTGAGGTCAGCAAGGGCCCCCCACACCCGCCAAAGGCCATAGTCATGGTCAGCAGCATCAGCACCCCCCCCCCCCCCGCGTGGCCTGCGGTTGTGCTGTTGTCTTGTGCATTGGAACCGAAAGGCGCACGCTTTCAAAAACGGAGCGAGGGAGCAAGCAGCACGGAGCGCGATGTGCCTACAGTCACTTGCATCAATAGCCACGATTCTTACGGGCCCTTATCTTTCGCGCCAAACTATTACAGCCCAATCCGGCGTTTTTTGGCACCTGAAGCGCGGCAAGCCAATGTCCGTGAGGCTTCTGTCGAGTCCCCCCCGCTGGCCTGGTAGGTGCCCGGTGGCAGGAAAGGGAACCCATCCGAAGCCAAGCACTGCTCTGAATTGCGCTGATCCTTCAACCAAAAAGGGGAATGGTCAGAATTCGGGGCTAAATACGGAAGAACTGGGTTGGAAAAAGGGCACCTTACACCAAACTTGCAGTGATTCTGGCTGCGCCATTCGTGTTGCCCCATAGCTTGGAAATCACCTGGTCGATTCTGGGGTGGCGGCCCGGGCATCCGCGTCCTTCGCCGCCTGCGGCCAGCAACTTGTGCCAACCAGGCCCCGGCCTTCAACTTGTTCCATGTTTTGCAAGTTTTGCCATTCTTCCTCGAGTGTTTTGCAAATTTCGGCGCCAAAATTGAAAAACTCGATGAAGAAATGCAAAAATTGCCAAAGATTGCCAAAAGAGAGATTCCTCGAAAAATGCCCCAGTGCCAGCCACTAGAGACCCGGAACTCGCTCCTTCACGGAGCTGTCAAAGCCCTGCGCGAGATTTCAGAAACCCAAAGGAAGGAAGCTAAACTGGGTGAAGTGACGCCCTGTCCCACCAATTGTAATTCGTGCAATGAAACCCGTTCCCGTGCTGGAGGAAAGCGGTTTTCTGAAGGGGGTGCAAAGACTCCAAACTCTGGGGCAGGTCGTTCGGTTCACTCAAGGCTCAGGCAATCCCGGTATGGGAGTTAAGGCTCGAATGGGGCAACAGGTCAAGACAAAGGAGACATGGCATCATAAAAGAAGAAGCTTTTCGGGGTGGATCTTCCAAATCAAAAAGGCGCCAGCCCGATGGGGTGTCAACTAGAGTTCAAAGTAAAATCGATAAGCAGCGTCAGCTTACATATCTTCCAGTAGTATCCAAGTGTGGCGGCGCTTTGCTCATGTTTCAAAGTGGTCAGGCATGGGCATATTGGGAACAATGAATGCTTCACATGTTGCATCACCCCATGTAGTGGGAAACGTGCAACATGTAATAATCAATTGCACATTGTGGGTTGGAGTCAAACTTAGATATCACGAAGTTGGAGCCCGACAAAGAAATGCACAAAAAAATCGCAAAGCAAGCTCAAGGCCTGCCCGGAACACATTTGTTGCCCTATCTAGTATTTATGTTTGACAGGTGCTTAGGCTTAAATCTCGCAACTCTTCCAAAAGGTTGTTGTCAGGTTGTGTCCTTTCAGAAATGAACGGATGTACCCAATGCGTCCCACTAGATTCACATAGTAGGTAACCCTTACCTCTAGGCTACGTAATCGTTCGATTTCTCCTGGGCTGAACCATGGACGATTCCTCTAGCTACCCACTACGGCTTGACTAGAAGCACTGGGCTAAGGACCACCCTATTCCCACTGAGGACACGTCCGCACTTCTTTGCTAAGTGAGTCGAACCCTACTAAGTACTCATCTAGCAAGTGTGAATCGTCCTCAGTTTCTGTGACCTTCAGAATGTTGCAAATGTCAAATTGCTCACAGACAATCTGCAAAGTGTGCACGCATTCCAGCACGCACGTGGTGCATTGGAAACCGCCAAATCATAACCCCGTTCCATGGGTGAACTCTTCTTATTCCCTGGTGTTCCTATGAATCTTCAGATTCACGCTCCCCCGTTTGGGAGGGTAAAAGCCAACGTTTGTCCAGACCTGAAGTCTCAGCCCCAGCCCCAGACAAGGCAGAGCCTCCAGATCCGGCGCCTTCGGCCTCAAGGTAGAGGTTGGGCCCATGTGAAGAGGCGTACTCTGGAGATCACGAGAACGGCAAGTAGCGGCAAATGGGGAATTGACTGCGCATATATATATATATTTACATGTGTATATATATATATATGTATATGTATACATGCATGTGTATATATATATATAGGGTACCATATATATATACACATACATACACACATACTGTACATAAAGATATCTGTGCATCTGTCCAAAGAGATCCAGAGATTTCGGCTATCAAGCTGTTCATGGGCTGTTCTGACCTGTTTTGACACCCCCCCCCCCCCCCCGTCCCGCTTTCCCAACCCGTGATGAGATTTGAGATGCGACTCCAGGTCCTTTACTTATCCAATTCCTATGACGGAAAGTCAGAATCCTTTTTTTGCCGACTGTCATCCCCGATTTGAGAGGGACATGAGGAAACTCGCTCAAATTCCCAGGGGTGGCTTGCTATGGATGTTCGAGCTGTTCCTCAACGAAGTCCAACCCAAATGAAAGGGTTACAGTTCGGAAAAATGAGCAATACTATGGAAGCCCTAAATATAGCATGTGGGATGTGGACGCTGATTCTCTGGCACGGCTCGCTGCGTGCGATCCTCGCTCCCCCAGCTACAATGTTGACGAGCGCAACCCTTCTTCCCAGGCCCAAAATAATGCAAGTCCAACACTGCATTGGGGGGAGTGGGGGCTGCAAATTGCAAATATCCAACAGAACAAGCTTGCATCATCAGCCAGCATCTCCAGCATCTTCAGCCCATGTTTGGGATCACCACAGCATCACCAACATTCCCGGCATCGCCAGGAGCTCGCGACTACAACTCTGCTACATTCAGACCTCAAAACTCGAAAAGCATGTTCTTGCACAAGAAACGCTCTGCAATTTGCTTGTCAGGACCCCCCACCCTCACACAATTCACACTCCAGCAACAAAGTTGCTATGTTTTTTTTTCCTAAAACCTGAAATAAGGAATGCCAGGGGACGACATCACCTCCAGCACCGAAAATCTGAACCTCTTTTGGTGAGAGCAGAGTGTGGATCTGCGAAATGTGAAGCAAGTAGACATAAAATGGCGTGGCTAAAACAAATGTGCGATGGCACCTTGCTAAGTGGAAACTAACACTAAAACCTGCATAACCCTAGGTTTTTCATTTTGCGCCACACCCAAGTCAGAACGGGCCTCATGGAATCCAGCGGAAGATCATTTTGTTTACCACCAGGTGCAAGAGGCCTTCAGTGTCACACATGTGCTGCAAAGCCTGCACCCATTCTAGCAAAGGGGACTTGACTAAGGCTTGCCTCATGGGAACACTGGCTTGCCTCATGGCTTCCTTGTCTGTGGATTGGCCAAAAAAAGTCGAAGCTTCTTTTTCACCACTCAATGCTACTCCGAAAACGGAAGTGAGGTGTTTGCCTGCCTTGAAAGGGGCGGGGATTCAATGTACTCACAAAAAAGTTGTCTAAAATTATCTTTCATATGGCAGTGGTTGTGACCAGGCGCGGAAAGTCTCGAGACCGTCCTCCGACCTGGAACACTCAGTTGGCATGCTCCTCGGCATGTCAGTATCTAGCACAATGGACATCCCTGTGCCTCTTGCGGAAAAACGGCCCAATGACTTTGCAGTTACAGGATAAGCTCAGGTGGGACAAGGAATCCAATTAAAGGTCCCGGGGTCATACCCTCACGGCCGAATGACAGAAAGCTGAATTAAGGATGCTACCCCGTGGGAAGACCCTGGACCAGCGCAAAGGACCATCAAGGTGAACCCGGCTCCGCGCAGGCTGGGTGCCCCGTGCGTGGGGTCATGGCCTGCCAAGTGAAATGCATGCCGCTCAGCAATGTATGCGTGGATAGAGGCGCGCATGCTTACATTCCGTGCGGTGCATATTGATATGTGTCTGTAAATACGGAAGAGTACACACAATGCACCCGCACACAAACACACGCAGACACGCGGACACACACACACACACACACCACACACACACACCACACACACACACACACACACAAATGCACACACACACACATACAGCGCACACACACACACACGGGGAAAAAAAAGAGAGAGAACACGCACCCACGCAAGCACGTAAGCAAGCAAGCAAGCAAGCAAGCAAGCAAGCAAGCAAGCAAGCAAGCAAGCAAGCAAGCAAGCAAGCAAGCAAGCAAGCAAGCAAGCAAGCAAGCAAGCAAGCAAGCAAGCAAGCAAGCAAGCAAGCAAGCAAGCAAGCAAGCAAGCAAGCAAGCAAGCAAGCAAGCAAGCAAGCAAGCAAGCAAGCAAGCAAGCAAGCAAGCAAGCAAGCAAGCAAGCAAGCAAGCAAGCAAGCAAGCAAGAGCAAGCAAGAAGAGCGATGCAATGCCATGCAATGCCATGCAATGCCATGCAATGCCATGCAATGCCATCGCACGGCATGCAACACAATGCCATGCAATGCCATCGCATGGCATGCAACGCAATGCAACTTAACGCAATGCAACTTAACGCAATGCAATGCAATGCAATGCAATGCAATGCAATGCAATGCAATGCAATGCAATGCAATGCAATCCAAAGCAATTCAAAGCAAAGCAACGCAAAGCAAAGCAAAGGAAAGGAAAGGCAAAGCCAACAGCCCACCCACCCACACACCCACCCACCAACCCACACCCACCCACGCCTACCGGCTCTTTTGAACTGCCCGCCCAACCACGCACGCCCAAGAGCAGCATGCACGTCGATAAAATCGAGCACAAAAACAAAACTCTCAACTGCAACCAGGAGTGGACCACATACAACCCCTGGTTGGTGCAAGATAGTCATTGTTTGTCTCATTGCGACGTCGAAAAAATAGGATGTGTCATGGTCTCCCAAGGTGGCTCAAGAGACTGTCACTCTGCATCGTATTGGGTATGCGCTTTTTGGAGGTGCCTAGGTGGTGTCAAGGGGAATTCAAAGGAAAACCGCCCATGGGGCTTCCCTATGGAGACACCCATGGCCGCCCATGGCGTGACTCCCAAAACCAAATTCGAGACCAAGGTTTGCGTTCATGCGTTTCCGTGCAGAGTGCAGGTTATGACACCATGAAGCAAAGCGGGACCCTTGAGTTTGCCTTCCGACTGTTTAGCCTTCACAGGGCGGAATAATAGCAGGTGCTCTGTCTTTTCCATGGGTTCAGGCTTGACTGAAAGTTAGCAAGCTCATACGCCACGGTGAAATAAGCTCTCTGAGCCGGAACGGTCCAAAGATTTAGCCACGGCCAGGTGATTCAAGTCACGAGGAGTGATTTGGAGTGGGCGTTGAGTTCAAGTCTAGGCACGCAGCATCTCGACTATTCAAGAAAACGCAAAAATGTCGATCCGCACGGCATGAACACCTCCGGCTGTTTTAGACATCGACGATTTGAGGCGCGCTTCAAGTTGGTCGGTAGGGGGCCTCAACAAAATTATATAATCAAATGTATACAAAACTGGTTGGAAGCGCCTATGCTGCGTCTGGCAGGACATGCAAACACGCAACCCCCAGCACAACAGCCCAAGGCGCATGGGGCCCTGCGAGGCATTCTGGGAAAAGCATCCTGCATGAAGTACGGGTCAACAATCTTGCTCAGCCAGAAGCAGTTCTTAGCGTGAAAACTGTGCCTGCGGACACAAAGCCCGCGAGTACCCAAAATGCGACGACCTGTTCTTCCGACAACATCTCCTTGAGCTGCTGGTCTCGACATAGTCTATGACCATGGTGCAATATCATTAGGGATTGACAAACCGAAAGAGCAAAAGCGCAAGCGAGCTTGTTTGATCGGATGTAAACATAATCACAAAATGGAGGGAGTTGAAGTGGATTGACATAATTGACATAAATGTTGTTTAACAACAGCCTTCAAGGGTTTAGTTGTTCGATCGGACTCGGTCACTAGGGAGACCCGGAGCCAAGCCGGCCGGGGCTCTTGTGAAGGTTTCGGGCCAAAAGGGAACTCTGAAAGCGAATCGTAAGTACCAGGAGGGATCTGACATACAAAAGCGAATCGTCTCTGTTTCTGGACATTCAGAACGTTCCGGTAGACCTCATGGAAGAGTTGGGCTGGAGGCATATGAAAATTGGCCCTCCAGCTTGAGGTCTTCCCCCTTAAACTGAGGGAGTGCTCCAGTTGGCTGCAATTTGGGGGTGCTGAGAGGTGCAGTCCTAGCGAGGATCACAAGTCTGCATTAGCTTCGATGAACCAAAAGCTCCTCTGGCCGCTCGCCCTCCGGCCTGACATCAGGAAGTCTCCCGCATCTTGGCCGGAGTCGGCAGGACATTCACCCCCCATTTGGCGGTACAAGGTGGGGGTGGGGGTGATGTGCTTTTTGGTATCTTTTCTAGGTTAAATTTAAAGGGAAACCGGAAGGAACACTATCATTTGGGAGGCCGCCGATTTTAGACGCACAGGCAGTACTTTGTGAGGGAAGGCCCGTGCCATTCCGACGGCCACACAACTCAAGTGCTCCACAAGTTAGCTGCCCCAAGCCGCACAACTGGGGCTGTGGGCAGCGCCCAGCCTTTCATTGGTGCTAGAGGCAAGCAATCTCAGCAGTTCAAAGACTCTGCCACAAGAGTTGAAATATGGTGTCCTTCTGAGGGAAACGGGGCTCCCCAAATGGCCCCTACCCTATCGGAAAACACTTGGACAGCAGACCATGCATCTACCTTTCAGGTGTTAGCCAAGCTGCGTTCTGTGCTCCGTCCAAAGCACCCTCAGAAAAAAGAAGAAAAACAGAAGAAGAAGAAAAGAAAAAGAACAACGGAGTGGGCAACTGTTCAATACCAACTATGGCCAGGAATTTGCCAACATGGATGCCCAAGCTTGCGACCGCTGTGAGGATGAATGAAGCGGGATAATTCTGCGAAGCAGAGATTTCAGAGATTGATCAAATCCTTGCACAAGGTTTCTTTGCGAGCAAGTGGGCAACCACAACATGCACAAGACATACCGAGTGTAAACAGGGCCAGGTTTTTTCCAGCAAAATGGGAGGCCCACGCATGCAGCCGCGGGAAACCACGCCAACTTGGACTCCGCGCCAACTTGGACTTCGCCGCACGGAGACGGATGGCTTAGGTCCGGCGGGACCAGGTTGGGCTCGCCTGCATCGGGCAAAAGACAGCCCCGAGAGAAATTGGAACAGGGGGTTGCTTGAGGCAAAATGGAAACAAACCAAACCATTCTTGGAGGTTCAGAGTTGCATTTCCGGGTCGGATTTGGAGCTTGGAGGGGCGCTTAGACAGCCTCATTCAGGCTTCCCTTCAAAGGGAGGGCAACTGGTCCTGGTTTGAAAAACATGTCTAAACCACTCGTTAAACAACTTCCGTTTGGTGTCCCTTTAAATGAGCGACCTGGGGTTGGCTGAAACAAGATTGGCTCAACCTTATTGGCTGCACACACACTTCTAGGGCTGGGCTCGGATGCATGCGCATATCTCCTTGCAGGAAAATGGGCAAATCCGTTGAACGGCGTTGGAAGAACTATAGGTCCAGCGGTTTCAGGTGGCCACAGCACCTAAAGTATGTATGTGTGTGTGTGTGTGTCCTTTGATGGGCAAACGATGAACCTGAAAACGAATCACTTCTAACAATGTGCCGATCAGCTTTGATAAAATTGCGCGACAGGCCGCCACGAACATATCCCATCGGCAAGCTGGACTCGATGGCTAAACTGGCTGCAACAGCCAAGTGCTTGGCTCACGAGCAAGTTGGGGCAGAGTCTTTGCACCCTCCGCTAAGACTTCGATTTGCAAACGGGAACCGGCTTCCAACATGTAAAAGGGGTGTAGGGTAGAAGCCTTGATCTCCTGAAATGGACGGCAGCGGCGGATCCCGCTGGCATTCCCTTTAAGCACTTCCTAGGCCTTGGCTCGCCCCTGCCATGCAGTCCGCGAGGTCGAGCGGATCACAGGGGCCGAGCCCCGGGATCTGTTGGATAAAAACCAGTTCCTTGGCTTTGGAATTGGGAGTGGAACATTGAGGCAGTGGGCGTTTGGATTTTTCAGGCTTGGCATGGGTTTGCTGGCCACATCTTTGGCGGCGCCGGCGCCCGCCGCAAGTTCGCCCTGGAAGCCGCGAGAAGGAACGAGCAAAAAGCAAACTGCACGCTTTGACTCTGGTCTACAGGAACCTCGCCCCATTCTCTCACCCTGTCAGTCCAGAATCCAGATGCGACCGGCTGCTCAAAGGATGTTCTGGCAGCGTTCCTCAGAAGAAACATATACGTACCGTGCACGGACAAGTTCCTGCACCAGCAGCTGCTTTAGCCCAGTCAGATTCATCCATCCCAACTGAAGATTAGTTTGTCCATCCACAGTGATTCAATCTGGAACCCCAGTAAACTGCCTCACAAAAGTGGCCCAATCTGGCTGGTGTCGTTTCTCGTCAGACTGAGAGACGGACAACCCGAATCGGGTGGCTTTTCATTGAACTGACCGAAGGGAATCCCCATTGAACACTCCACTCACGGACGAAACATCCGACCCCAACGGTTGGAGAATGGTAACGATCGTCCAGTGGAAATCCGTTGGAACTGCCAAAAGGTAACATCGGAACTGCGCGTGGAATGTCAAGCCTATGTCAAGCATCAGCCCCCTCCCTCAATTCAAACAGTTTGACATGGAGATGCCTGATGCTGGAATCGTTTGCTAAAAAACAAACAAGCTGCGACATCTGCGACAAAATTCGAAAGATGCTTGGCAGAGATGAGATCTCACAAAGTGACGAACGATTATGTCCGTAAACCACGGTCTAAATGCACCAAAAAACAGAGCGCAGGCATCTACACCAGGATGAAAGTAGATGGCAGAATTCCCTTGCTGCTGGTAGGTAAGGGGGAAGATGAACTGAAAATTGTTGCCTAGACCAAAAGAATGAGCACATAAGGATACCTAAACAACATGCGTGCCAAAGCTGGAAGCCTTGGTGCGGGTTCAAATGCAAGCCAGGATCTAGCCTTTCGTAAACAATGTGCCGCTCACGCAGTGCAACAACTATGCCCCCCTGTGAAGATCACATTTCAACCCTCCGAAAAGGGACATGTGAGATGTAAAGCAAATCCAAACCCCAGCAATCCCGCGCTTTTTCGCTGCGCTCGGGTTCGGGGTTCGCCCCAACCGACGTCTCGCACCGCTCTCGCAGCACCTCGCCGCGGGGAAACGCCCTGTGATCCCACTCCCAGGCGCAGCTTCGTGCTGTTCTTCAGGCGTTTGCATCGACCCAACTCAAACCCCCTTCAGGTACAATTCTTGGACGCACGACTCAACGCACGCGGGGAGCGAGACATGCAGCGAGGAATCTTCCCAAAGCTTGGGATACCTCCCAACGCGTATGTGAGCAAAAACGTCTTGTCTTTTTGGCCCACCCAAGGGTAGGATCAAGGATTCACCTGAATCCCCAAAGCGCCATGCGTACCGCAAACAACTGACGCACCAGCTAGTTGCCCTTTGATAAAATAAGTACCAAATGATTGGAACCAAAGTGAAACCAATAATAATAATAACTGATCTATTTTCAACCAAGTGCCGGCTAGTTTCAACTAAGTTCCCCTGAGGACACCTATGCCAACCAGTCCGCTGTCCTCGAAGGCCAAGCTCAAGCCGGAGATGAAGAGACCGCCCTCGCGCTCAGATCCCCGGAGGACAGGCGCCTCTTTCTTGACAAACGGGGTTCGCTTGTGCGTAGAGAAAACAGAAAGTGTGGAACCTGAGTGGAGACCCGCTGAAGTGCACGTGTCCAGCAAACGCCAGAGCTGAGAGTTGGCAGTTCGCGAAAACCTCTGGGAGTTCCGTTCTTGTTCGCGAAGGCTCCAAACAAGTCACTCGAGGTCGCTGAGGTCCGATTTCAGACAAACACTGTTTGGAGATGAAAAAACGCTTCCCCGGTGGACCCGTGGCTTCTTCTGGATTTACAAGTGTCAAGCCTTTGGGGGCATCCAAGACTTGCTTAGGTGATTGGGGCCGACCGCCCATATAGAAACTCATATATATATATATATATATATATATATATATATATATATATAATCAGAACATTCCAGCACATGTCACTTAGGATATGCCAAACATAGTTTAGAGGTTGAAGGCATCTTCTCCTTCGGCTCGGGGTGCTCGACTCTACTGGCACGAGCGCATGTTGAGAACAGAGGGAATCTCGCTCGGGCCAATCCCGGGAGGAGATCGCGTTGGCTTTATGGTTCCTTGCTCTCGAGTGAACTGACCTTGCATAGGGGTCGCTTCAATCCCGATCAACATGAGCTTCCGTGCAAGACTTTGGGAAATAGCCTCGTGATGCCAAATTGGGATGTTCATGGATGTCTTAATCACCTCAGGGGGATTTTCTTGGCTCACAGAATAAAGAAAAAGCAACCTCATGCAGTATGCGCAGTGTTCCACCCCATTCCTACAAGAATGGATGTGAAGGCTTCCATGTGGGCATGGGTCAAAATGAAACCACTATGGGGACCGCAGGTTTAGAGCCCTTCTTTGCGGATTTGCCAGGCTTCGATTTTGGGCACACATTACCCACAGCAATGTTGATCTGGAGAGTAAAACCACTCAGCTCCATCGAGCTGCTCCGATCCGTCCCGGTCCCCACCGCACCTCGCGGCTTTGGGGGTGCTCGACACCTCGCCTTCCTCCGAACCTGGCCGAGTGACCCGTTCGCCGGGTTTCAAACGGACGCAGCTGGCACGACCAACATGGCACACCCTAGGAAAGGGTGGGGAAAAAAAACTAGGAGCTTATCAATGAGGACGTAACAACCCTAGCTCATGAGTCTCTTTCAGTCGTTTAATTTGAGGTCCGCTTCGTTCTGGATGTGTCTGATGGAGCTTCTGGGATTTTGTGAGTTTGATTGAAACAAGGCGCTCAGAAGAAAAAACAGAAACTAATAAGAGCGGTTCGGTAGGTTTTGTTGAAAAGGAATAGATGGCACCAAAAAATGGTTAGAACCGAATCTGTGGAATCCATGAATTTTCAACTGAGCTGCCCTGTTTGGGACAAAAACAGAAGTAGTAAAAGTCCGAAAAATAGAAACAGTCCTTAGTTTTGCACTGCGACCATGCCGATCCATGCAGAGCGTAGCGTGCGCGCAAAAACCTAAATAGGGAAAGTCTCCAGTTTTGGCAGAGTGGGCTGTCCCCCGCCACGCCGCCTTGAAAGATAACTTTAATCTCCCTTGCAAGCGCAGGTGTGGTCGCGCGAGCTTGTGCTCGTGCAAGCGTGCTTGTCCAAGTCTTCTTGTCCAAATTTTCTGGTGAAATGTGCTTGTGCAAGTTTTCTCGTGCAAGTTGTGCCCGTGCAAGTTTTATCGCGCAAGTGTGCTCGCGCAAGTTTCTTCGAAGTGTGTTCATGGAAGTGTGCACGCGCAAGTGCGCTCACGGGAGATTGCTCGCGCGAGTGTGCTCGTGCAAGTTCTCTCGTGCAAGTGTGCCCATGCAAGTGTTCTCTTGTCAGTGTGCGCCTGTAAGTTACCTTCTGCAAGTGTGTTCGCTCAAGCTTTCTCGTGCCAGTGTATTTGCGCAAGTTTCCTCGTGAGTGTGCTCATGTAAGTGCGCTCGCGCAAGTGCGCTTGCTCACGCGAGTGTGCTCGTGCAAGTTATCGCGTGCAGGTGTGCTCGTGCAAGTGTTCTCTTGTCAGGGTGCGCGTGTAAGCATTCTCGTGCAAGTGTGTTCGCGCAAGTCTCCTCCTGAAGTGTGCTCATGTAAGTGTGCTCGCGCAAGTGTCCTCGCGCAAGTGTGCTTGTGCATTTTCTTCGTGCAAGTGTGCTGGTGTAAGTTGCCTCGGTTAAGTGTTCTCGTGCAGGTTCGCTCGCGATTGTTCACAGAAGAACCCTTTGCAATGCGTTCGGGCAAAACAAAGAGGGGTTCCCCTTCAAAACAACCCAAGGGTATCCTCAAACAAAGAACCACCCAACCCTGTCAAAGAAAAGTCATGACAGCGCCTGGGTCTTCCTCAAAGTCCAGCATGTCATCCTGAGCTGGGCTGAAAGGAGGTCTGGGACACTGTGGAAATGTGTGCTGGGGACCCCCCCAATTTGATTTCAAAGATGGCAGATCCTCACCCGGATCCGTGTCAGTCGGGTGGTCCAAAATTCTGGACCCAGTTCGGCGACAGTTCACCGCTGCCTTTCAAAGGGGGGGCCAAGAGGGTCCCTGATTTTGATAAACCCGCCATGCTGCGATTCATCCTTCGGTCATTCGGTCAGCGTCTGTGAGCGAGGGCCCAACGCCGGTTGCTTCTGTGGTTCCGTTTCTTGAGGAGGTGTCCCCTTTGGCTCCGCGGGCCGCCCTTCCTCTTGCAGCCAGCCTGGCCTGCGTGCCGAGGGCGCAGTTGCGAACAGAGGAATCAGAACAGAGGGAACAGAGGGAAAAGAGGATTGAACAGAACAGAACAAACGGATCAGGAAGAACAGAGGAGTGCGGACTTTCAGTTTGACGCTGCCGGCGCTTTCCCTCTTTCAGTGCGGTGTCCATTCGGTTCCGCTGGGTCCGGCTCACGGCAGCCCGGGACCATGAGTCGATGACTTTCCGTTCCGGGCCAACTCGGCGCAAGAAAATGCCTTGGTTTAGAGTCGATACATGACTCGAGACCTTCTACCCTCTAAATTAAGTCAAGCACAAGGCAAAGCTGTCCGTAGCCACTGGAGGTTTGGGAGAACGTGCAGTTCCGGATGCCCCTGTTGAAGGAGGTGTTGCCCTTGTAAAATGGAGACTTGTGTATTTGACTGCGCAACCAGCTTGAATCTTGCATTGATCTTGAGAAGAACCACCCTTGTTCAAAACGTGCTTTAGACCTATTGTTCGAAGCACCTCCCTTGGGCTCTTTAAAGGGTGCGAACAGGGTCTGAAGGTTCAAACATACGTTGCCCGCACCAATTGCCGCACCAATTGGAAGCACTCTTTCCGTCCAGGCCCCAGACCCTCTGACGTGCGACGGGGGACAAAAACGCGGCCTGTGTTTTATTGGAGCCAAGAAATTCAAAGCGCCTCGTAGACTGCGATCCAAAGCTGACTGTTCGCGGGAACTAGGTCCAGGCAGAGAACAGGCAAGCTGGGCCAAGTTGCTTCTCCCACTTGGACAGAAACAAACCGCAACTGAGTTAGAACTAAAACCCGGTAGCAAAATAATTTCCCCAGAACCGATCAGCAGCGCCCGAACGCCTTGACTTGTGGTTCTACCAAGATGGAATAATGTGGGCATTGCTTCCTTATTGCAACCCTCACTTCAGAAAATAGAAACACCCAACTAAGTTGGCTAAAATGAGTATGCCTGGCTGCTCAAATGAGGATGTACGTAGGCCGGCTCGCTCATGGCTTGGAATGGCTCCTATCAAGCTCCAACTTGGGTCTGGACGTTGCTGAACTGGCCATTTAATCGCTATGTAGCCAATGTTCAAGTATTATGGAGGCAGCACTCTCAGACTGCAAACATGACCCCCGACCTTTCCCCTCACAAACAGGGGTCCTTCTGGGGGATTCCCGGGTACCACCGGTACTGCGCGCGCTTCGGCTTGGATTCCGCTTGGATTCCTCGGCTTCCGCCCCGCCGATTCGTCCTTCTCCAGCCGAGGCGCGGCGGCGGCTTTTTTCGGCCGCCTCATCTCCACCTCAAGGGCCACAGATATGTCGCGGCTGAATCGGACCCCGGCCAAAAAATAATGTTTTTGCCTGGTTGGTGGAAAACAAAGGGGACCCCAAAGAAGCAAACAAACATAAAAAGGGGAACTAATTCTGGGGAAGGAAAATGGGACCCGGTACCCCAAAAAAATAAACCCCAACAGGAGATGAACCAGTGCTCAAGCACGCTTCTGTGCCAGACATTTAGCTGAATTGGGAACGGGAGGGTTGAACATCCAGGCAGGTCCAGTGCTCAAGCTTCAGAAATTTGTCTGAATTCAGAACTGTTGAACGGTCGTCTTGAACATGACAGTCATAAGAGGCGAGGAGAAAGCCCAGGCTCGCCCAAATTGTGAAATCCAAACAACAGCTCTGGGTGAGGAACCTTTGGAATCCAAACAACAAATGTAGCGGGCCGGCGCAGAAACGCCCACGACCCAGAGCCCGGAACTTGGAGCATTGGCCAAGCGCGCCGATTTCGTGAGGCGTCTGTCGCCTTTTGCATGGAAGCCTCACCCTCACAAACCGGACGCACAGCGACTGTTGAACCCTCCCGCAATTCTGGCCTTCCTGATGGCACATTCTGACGACCTTCCCCAAAACCAGTGGAGCGGCTTCCCGCGCAAGCCAAGGGAAGCCCTCATTGGCACAAGCTCGCTGCGATCCGCTCGATGCGATCGATCCACTGCTCTGGGTCCCGAGCGGCCGCGGGCGCTCTTGGCACCTGTTGCAAGGGGCGAAACGTCCTCCCGTCATTTGCCCAGTCCTTCCCGAAAGGGCAAGTCTTGCCACCAGAGGTGAAGCATCTCAGCGCCACCCTCCGCAATCCCATTTTTTCCTGGCGGGGTGAAGATGGTTCTCCTCGGTTCTAAATAGGGGGTCGCCCGAGTCCATGTTCCAAGGGCTACTCCCCCGCAGCCGAAAAGGAGATTCCTTGGAAAATCCACGAAACAATAGCGACTATCCGGACAAGTGCCCATGAGATATCACTCACCCACATTACAGATCAAACTCGCATATGAGAAGTGGGCATGGTCAAAACTGGGCACCCTTCCAAGAGGTTGGTGGTGAGTGTGCTCAGGACATCAACCCAATCCCAGACGACTTCACCGAGCAAGCGTCCATTTCGGCTTTATGGATAGGAATAACAGCTACTGAATTTCGGTTTTGGCAGCCACTGCTCAGAGCATCAAAGACGAAGCGCTGGTCGTGACAGGACAACTTGAGGTAGCTCCCTTGTAACTATGGCTATACCCAAAACATGTAACCCCAAATGACAAAGACACCTTATTTTGGAGGCCACCCTGTTTGGGATTCCATGTCCACCTTCAAGGACGCAGAACTTGGGTTGCGGCCTCACCAAATGAAAGAGGTCTTGGGAAGCGTTGAGGGCTGATGAGCAGTTGGTTAATTGTGAATGAAGCGATCCTAGTTACACCCCGGCTCGCCGCTAACCAACTGCAAGCTAGCTGACACGGTTGCCCATGTCCCCGAGAGACTATGTGTTTGAAGCGCGGCCGAAGAAGCACAACAAAAAAACCGTTGGCCAATCCCCGGTGCCCCACATCCAGCGGGGGCGCACCCGTGGCAGGGAGGCGGTGCGCCGCGGAGGTGCGTGCCCGGCCTGTGGGGGGTGGGGGGGCTGGGGTCGGAAGTGGCGCTTTCCTTGGCATTTGTCGGTTTGGCTTAGCAGAAAACCAGCCAAAGGGGGTTTCATACGGCCATGGTGTCATATTTTGTCGATACAGTTGGCCATGGTCAAAAAAGCTCCGAACATGTTCGTGATGGTTGTGGTTCCCGGTAGTAGAATCCTTGCCAGGTCCTTGCCAGAGTCAGCGGATATCTTATCATGGTAGAAGACTCGTTTATTTTTGGGCAAGCCCTTCCATGATTGGAAAGAGGGTACAACCTTCAAAGTCACACTACAAAGCGGTAGCTTAACGGGAAGCATCCGCAGTTTCCCGCTTTAATAAAAATGGTGAGAATCATGGGAGGCCACTGCCAGGAGTGCTCACCAAACCGCCAAAGTTCACAATTGGCAGAGGAATATCCACAAGACACGCCGGGGCCATCCAGAAAGAGAAAATTGAGTGTCGTTCCGGTTAGCGTTTATATGAGGAGAAGGCACATGCTGTAAACTGATTAATTTCAAAATATTCCGGACAAGAAAAACACCGCCATCATTGCGGCTTCTTCCCAAACATATTGTTCTGTTCCGCGCCAACAAAAGCTATGACTAGCGCATTGTTCCATTAACATAAAAATCATGGTTGACAGTTGCCTGCAAACGATAGAACATCGCTCATGAGCTGCAATTGTGTGCTACCCCAAAATGTGACAGGGTAGTAAATGCCGTCTTTTCGCCATTGGCTGAATGCCACGCATGCAGAACAAAATGTTAATTTAATTGTTGCTCACTTAGGCACAAAGCCAAAACGGGCGGGACCCTGCTACACGGGTTTGAGCTTTGTGGCCCAAACCAAGTTTTCGGAGTGTTGCGTTTCTTTGGAAGAGCGAACAGCACGCCATGATGAGATAGTCACATGCGGATGCGGTTCACTGAAGCGTGGGGTGGCGTTCAGAAGAAGTGATGGATCCTGATATCCCACCCCTTCTGCAGATGCTTCCTAAACTAAGAGTTCCCCAAGCAAAGGGCCCAAATCATGGTGAGCTCGGCACCGCCAGGTTGACATGAAACAGGCAGATCCCTTACATGAGGCCTGCGAAATCTGTCGGCATTAGTCATGGTCGGCCGTCTTTGTTGTTCAAGACAATGTAGAGGCAGAAGGATGACAGCAGCCAAAAACTATATTGGCAAATCTAAGACTCCCACCCCCACGTTGCCCGCCTGGCTTTGCCAAAATTGCACTCCAATCCAAAAGTATTACCATTGTCAACATCAGGGAAACGGCCC